GCGATCTTTAAGAAGCCAGTAAAAACAGAACTATTTAAAGCTGCCTTCGGACCTGAGATGTCCAATGTCATCTTAAATCATTTTTATTTAAAAGATAGGTTAGCTAGTCAGTGATTTCACCAAATGAACAATTGCTTTGTCTGTAGATTTGTATCTGCATTATTATTACAATATTATTATTATTCAAAAATGCCAGGCACAGTCAATCAAAATTATAAAAACATTGACTGGTATTATATAACAGATACAAGTTTTAACCAAAAACCTAAGTATCTGTTAAATATCAATGTAGTATATATGTTCCTAATATTGCTGGGGGGGGGGGTTGAGCTCTGATAAGGTTATTTCTGAGATCTACAACTGCTTATAGTATTGTCTGAAATTTCTTGATAATGTTCCCAAACCCCAGTGACAATGGGGACCACTGACGTGTGTTTCATCCACAAGCTGGATAGTTCAGTTGCCAGCTCTCTGTATTCAGTTAGTTTTCCCAATTCTTTATTGTCAATGCTGGCATCCACTGAAATTGCAATGTCTATTATTCAGACATTTCTCTGTTCTATTACTGCTATGTCTGGTGTGTTATGTTCAAGGTGTGTGTTAGTTTGGATCCCAGAAATCTTGACTTCCTCATTTTCCATCACCCTCTGCCTGATGTCCCCATGGGTTTTTGGAGGCTGGCAAGTTACATTTTCTGCATAATGACCAGTGAACTAATCTGGCCAGTCTATCATGTCTAATTTTGTAATTTGTTAGTGCAATCTTTGGACATTCACAAATGAGGTGTGATACAGTTTTTTCATCTTTTTTTGGCAAAGTCGATATTTGCTGTTATTATTCAAAAACAAAAACATAAAAAATTATGAAAACATTGACTGGTATTATATAACAGATATACATTTTAACCAAAAACCTAAGTATCTGTTAAATATCTTTGCAGTATGTATGCTGTTCCTAATATCGCCATTTTTGTAGCTCTGATGGTGTGATTTCTGAGAACTACAATTGCTTATAGTACTGGGTGAAATTGCGATATTGTTCCCAAAGCCCCAGTGACTACAGGGACCACTGAAGTGAGTTTCTTCCAGAGGCAAAATGCTTTGATTGGCAGGTCTCTGTACTTTGTTAGTTTTTCCAATTCTTTATTTTCATCTCTGGCATACCCTGGAATTGCAATGTTAATGATCCGGACATAGTAATGTTCTATTACTACTATGTCTGGTTTGTTATGTTCAAAGTGTCTATCTGTTTGGATCCGGAAATCCCACAAAATCTTGACTTCCTCATTTTCTGACACCTTTTCTACCTGATGTTCCTATGGGTTTTTGGAGGCTGGCAAGTAATCTTTTTTTGCATAATGACTAGTGAACTAACTTTGCCACTCTATCATGTCCAATTTTGTAATCTGTTTGTGCAATCTTTGGACATTCACAGATGAGGTGTGACACAGTTTCATTTTTTTTTTTTCTTGGCAGGGTCGACATTTGCTGTTAGCACTAATTCCTTGGCTCTTAGCTTTCATCACGTTGGTTTGGAGTGCTTGTTCTTGTGCAGCAAAAATCAACCCTTCAGTTTCTTTCTTAAGGGTCCTCAGTTTTAGCCATGCCCATGTTGAATTATTATCATGCTTTCCATCAATATTTCTCAGGTGTTGTCCATGTAGTGGTCTATTTTTTCCAGCTGTTTTATTTATTTTCAAATTGTTGTTTCTTATATTGAACCTATGTTTCTGCTGTTTTCAAAATATTCTCCATTTTCACTGTCTTAAGTAATTTTTCTCTACCTGTACTTATATAATCATTTAATATTCTTTTTTTCTTCCTCTACTACCTGCTGCATTTGCAGTAATCCACGGCCTCTTGATTTTTCTTGGTAAATATAATCTGTCCACATCGCCTTTTGGATGTAGTGTGTGATGCACATACATAATTAATTACTTAATTACATAAATTATTATTACTATTATTACTATTAGTATTATTACTATTATTATTTATCATCATCATCATAGCATTGTTGTGCAAGTGGTTAAATTGCACTATTGCAGTCAAAGACTCTGCTCGTGACTTGTGTTCGATCCAAACTGAGTCAGGTAAACTGAGTATCCAACTGTGGGACATTCAACAATGGAGAGAGGGAATGCAATGTATAGCCTTCATAGTTAAATTGGAAAATGTCCACAGAGTGCTTTAAGTGCTATGAGGCAGTGGTACAATGAGAGAGTGCTATAAGTGCTACAATGTGAGTGGGGCTGAGTAAAGCAGGAATACTTATGCTGCTCAGAGTTGAATCTCTTGTTATAGGCAAGCACCAGAAACTCCAGATTTTATCCCAGTCAAGCCTAAGGATCTCTACTGCTATTGCTACTTCACATGCTCTTTGCAGCAGTGAATGTGGCTGAAAATATCTAAATAAGTAAATAAGCAAAGTAACAGAGATATGTGGAATCAGTTACAGAGACCATTATGTGTGAGAGAGGTTGGCCTCCAAACCTGATACTCTTTTTGTGTTAATTAGCCATAGGGACTTGGCTACAGCTAAAAATGTCTTCTTTCTCCTATTGTATCAAACAGAAAAAAGCTCTGCCAAGCCTGTCTGCCTCCCTGAGTGACTGTGGTAAAGGTAAAGGTTGACATTTAGTCCAGTCGTGTCTGACTCTAGGGTGCGGTGCTCATCCCCGTCTCCAAGCCGTAGAGCCAGTGTTTGTCCGAAGACAGTTTCCGTTGTCACATGACCAGCGCGACTAGACACGGAACGCCGTTACCTTCCCACCGTGGTGGTCCCTATTTATCTACTCACATTTTTACATGCTTTTGAACTGCTAGGTTGGCAGGAGCTGGGACAAGTGACGGGGGCTCACTCTGTTGCGTGGATTCGATCTTACGACTGCTGGTCTTCTGACCCTGCAGCACAGAGGCTTCAGCAGGTTAACCCGCAGTGCCACCACGTCCCTTCCTAGTGACTGTGAGGTAGGGGTTAAATATAAATAAAAATACTAATACTAGTAATATCTAATCTGGCTGGATTGCTCAGTGAGTTAAGTATCTAGATGCAGACACAGAGACTGGAAGTCTGATTCCCCCTCTTGTTTCCTGTGAGAAGAGCCAGCCTCTGTCGGTACTTTGTACCTAGAAAACCCTGCACACTTGCCCTAAGTCAGAATCAACTTGACAGCATGTAATTATTATTACAAATGAATTCAAAGCATCTACAGCACATGTGTCAAACTCAAGGCCTGCGGACTGAATCCGGGCCCATTTCATATGGCCCTCACAGTGTTGCCTGCTACTGTGCAGTATACAATACGCAGGCACTTACTCGGTCACCCATAATGCTTTGCAAGGATGCTGGGAAGACTTCGGTGAATAATGAAAAAAAACAAACAAACACAAGTGGGGCTGTGGAAGAGGTATCAACGGGTGTTACTAAAACTCACTTTTCAATAAATTGTACAATAGTTGTACACTTGAATATCTGCTTGCCATTGTTTCTAGACTTTGATAATAGACTTTTATTTTCAGAGCTAGTTACTACTTATATTATTACTAAAACCAGTAATAATCGAATGAGGAGGCTTATATTTAATATGATAAAGAGTAGATACATTTATATAGTCTTACAGACACAACCGGCCCTTTGAGGGCAACCATAATGCCGATGTGGCCCAAGGTGAAATTATGTAACCTCTGATCTACAGGAATACTATCGTATAGCCATTAAACAAGGAAATACTACTGAGTTCATTTAAAGGTCAAAAGGAGGCCCAATCTTTCTGGCAACCCTCAGTGTTATACTGCTCTAATCCTCACCATCTTTTGCTTTTCCTACACTCCTTCTATTTTGCAGGATAATCCCATACCCGGCTTGTCTCCTTTCCCTTCTCAAATATACTAGATGTACAACAACAACATCATCATATTTGACCCCCACCCCCCAAAATAAGGTGTAGGACCCTGACACAGGTCATTTCTTTCAACACAGACCATTGGAGGGTCAAAGTGACATTTCCTGAAAGCTGCAGGAAATCGTCCTTGAGGAACATTCACTCAGATAGACATGCCTCATCTCAGGAAGGAGGCTGTGGGAGCACAGCTGGCTGACGTAAAAAGGTGGCTTACATATGCATCTCTTGTCATTTACTTTGAGAAGCACTGCCTATTTTCAAAATAGTGGAGCTATTTCCACAGCAAGGCTCATCATCTTATCTTAGCTACAGGCAAGTGGCAACTGAACAATTATACTCCCTGCTCCCAAGTAATTAGCGGACCAGGGATCACTCCGGCTCCCCTCACCCCATGGACCAATTACTGAATGCAATATGCATTTTGTGTTGTGTTTTAAATTTGTTTTGTGTATATATATTGTGCGATTTTGTAATGTTTAGTTTAATAAAAAGAAAAAGAAAGGAAAAGAAAAGCTATAATCCCTACAAGGTGACTGGCTAACTCAAGGGACTTACAGTGAAAAACTGGAGAGGGAAGTTCAGTTCAGTTCCACATGCCGTTGTTAAACACTGTCACGTCAATTCCTAATTATGACAACGCCAATCAAATTTTTGAGGAGTGTGAGATATTTAAGGAGTGGTCTTACCATTGCCAACACCTCCCCAGTGACTTTCCATGGCCAAGTGGGAATTTGAATCCAGGTCTCCTGTGCCCTAGTCCAACCCTCTGACCTCTGGGTCTCCGTGCCACATACATATGATGAGGATCTGAGGTTTAATTTAGTTTGTGAAACAGGAACATTCTGTTTATGCCCTGAGGCACTCTTTTCCATATTTTACATGGGGGCAACCCTGTTTTACATGTTACAAATGTGACGCTGGGAACCTGCCAAGTCATTTTGAAGGTCCCCAAAGTGCCATTACTGTCTTCTGTGAGCTGATTGCTGCAAAGCAGAACTCACATTAGGAGCACCTGGTTTAAGAAGAAATCTAGCCACGTGATCCAAGTAGAAATCCCTTTCCAGAGCTAGGCCGCTCCGGGAGAAAGGCAGCTTACCACTGTGAGGTAAAATCAACAAACTCTGCAGAGAAGGCATTCGCAGGGAGTTGCGGCGATGGCTCCTCTACCACCTGTTTGAGCTGCTGGAACGGCGTCCCCCAGGCATCGTACGGAAACCGCAAGATCGCCAGTTCAATCTGGGTGTGGAGAAAAGGGCAAGGAGACATCAAGACAACTTCCTTAGGCTCTTTGAAAAGGAGGGGAAAGCAGCTTAAAAAGGAGGGAAAGGCAGCTAAAGCCAGAAGCAACACATGTGAAGGCATCAGCTAGCCACGGCCTTACCTATGCTTAGCAGATGCTACCACCTGCAGGCACGACTCTGAAATTGCACAGTCAGTCTCGGCAGTTCAGGATCCTGGGGCAGGTTGCATCAAGTCCCCGCCCCACCCCCATCCCCTTTCTGTTCCCTCTTTAGAAATGCTGGGCTTAGCTGGTGCCTCCGAGAAAACAGCCTGCGCACGTCCCAAGAGACAGAATGTCTCTGGGAATATTTAAACGCAGCAGCGTCATGAGGCCAGTTCTGCAGGTTTGTGCCACATACCCACAATCTCCCTGGAGAACGCAGAGTGCCAGGGGCCAACTCTCTCTCTCCCACCCCCTTCCTAATGCACGGGGGGCTGTTGCAACAAAAGGGAACTCAAACTTCCCAAGAAAATGCTTCTGACGCACTTACAGAAACCTTCAGGGTTTTTTTTTTCCTGAAGGAAGATCCCCTACAGCAAGCTTGGTGCCAGCATGGAAAAGACTGCCTGCTAAAGGGCACAAAGTTTTCTTTTGGTTCACAAAGAACCTTTTTTGGTTCAAGAGGTACTGAAATCATTATTGCAAGGAAGTGTGAGCCGTTTTTCTGCAGGACTACAGTAGAGGAGACAGCTTTACCTGTTGAAATTCTGTATCTACATTTTTGTCTCCCTCTCTGTTTCTTTTCTTTTCTTTTCTTTTGTGTGTGTGCAAAGTCTGTCGCAGATTTAATACTGATCAGTCCTACGATCAGGGAGGACTGTTTCCTTGTCTCAGGGAACAGGCTAACTTCCACCAATATAGCTTCTCTACCAGTTCCGAGTTCTATGTGTCTTCCAAACAATAGGCTTTGCTTGAGATTAGTTTCGATCTAAAGTCCCAGCACTCCTGATTCTTGTAGTGACCACCCAGGGCCACGGTTGGGCTGCTGCATATAAAATAAAATCCTCCTACAGGATCTAAATCAGTGGAGATGAAAATGATCAGCTGCAGGTTAAGATGAAGAAAAAGGGAACAAGAGGGGAGTACCCTTTGTTGAACCTGATGATTAGATACCTTTAAAATGAAACAATACTTTGATTTTAAATTGCCAATAAGTCTGGAGGGAAAGACCAGGAAATGCTCCTAATAAGCCTCCTCTTTGTCCTAGTGGCTTTCACATAGGACTGATGGGGATCTCTGCTCACAGGTTCCCCAGATTTTACCAGGGCCCCCCTAAATATACATCCAATCTCCCTTATTCTTGACTGCAGATCCTCCTGGGTGACATCTTCCACAATCAATGCAGATATGGGAAATAATGTGGCCTTCCCTTCAGATGCCACTTGTGGATGATAGGCTTGCCACTCCAATCAACTTCCACCAAGGACTATACTGTCTAGGACTGGAAGGAGTCCCAGCTGAACATCACCTGGAGGGTCACACATTCCATAATCTCCCAGGAAGATGTTGTGCAGGTCTCATGGCACACTCACCGTCAACATTAGGCAAGGATGATGAGCCAGCATCCACCTGCACTGAATGCATGCTCTGCAGCACGCATCCCAGAATGATCCAGAGTCCTCTGCAATCCATATTCCTCAGTAGACAATTGAAGTGGGTTCCCTGAAGGAACATGGGAAGGTCTAAAACCCACTGTTATATGCCAGCAGTAAAAGTAAGCCCTAGCAGAAACCTAAATCTTTCACATGTACACATGTGTCACTAAATGCTACTGTAGTAATCACACCAGGATTGAAAATCCTGCAGATGATTTGTTTCTGCAGACTATAGATCTCTCTTGGACCAAACTCCTTTCACCCTTGCAAAAGTGTTATCTTGTTAAAAGCGGCACCTTCAATTCTCGGAAGTCTCCCTGGGAAGGTGGTTCTCTCTTAAAACAAAGAACCCTCAATGTCTTTTTTTCTCCTTTCAAGGGGGTGAGGGGAAAGAACACAAAGTAAGAATTTTACACTGCCAGAACTAGAATTCTGTCCACTTCCAGTCTTATTTCATGGGGCTGGTAAGGCACATGGAGGATTCACCACAGACCTCTAGGTCATGCCACCACTGAACCAGATTATTGGTCTAGACCCACTACTATGCCATGGCATATACTATGATGAGTTCTATCACCAATATAATTGCCACAGACACATACAGTTAAGTACTTTAAGAAGTGGGTCCTTCAATTCTCCTCTGTGAGTTCTGAGAGAAGAGCCAGCTTCTATAGTTTTGGGTGAGCTGCGCAGGATTGCCCCCAGAAAAAGAGAATGGTGAACCATTTCCGAGTCACCAAAAGTCTGTGAAAGGGTTGTTGTAAGTCACAGTTGACTTACTAACACACCACTATTATTAGTCAGGCCCTGAAAGTCTTGACAATTCTCTGTCTTATTCTTGGCTGGATATATTTTGATGCAAGTATGAGCTGCAGCCGCTTAGCATCTCTGCTGTGCCAAGAGACCATGCCATGATGGCACCAGCACCCGGGAGACAAAGAAAGCTTGGAAGTCAGAACTACCTCAGCACAGCAGCTAGGCAAGCACACAGGCACATGATCAGGAAATGTAAGACCAACTAGTCGCTATAACAATAAGGCTCTTCCCAAGAGTCTATACTACCATTAATCTAGCCAAAGATGTCAATATACCCAGCCCCAAATCCACATTTCCCAAGAGAATGGCACCTACCCTGAAGCATCAGAAAGGTGCTGCCTTGATTAGACTTCTGGTAAGACAAACCACTAAGAGGCTGGCCATCAGGAGCTATCTCCTAGTTTCCCTTCTGTTGGTCCTATGGACCTCTTTGCATTTGTAATGAAGATGGGTCTGCAGTCAGTAAAGTCTCATCTCTTTTCAGGAAACCCTACCCTACAAAAGTCTGGGACCAACATCCGTTGTTCTTTATTCTTAGATCCTCCATGGTTCCTGTACTTGCCAAGGTTCATGCATGCTTCTGGAAACTCCAGCACCTCAATTGCTCTTGATCACTGCTTTGCTGAGCTGAAGAGTTAGGTTAGAGCATTTGCTCCATCCAATCCCGTGCAGAAAATCATTTGAGACCACGATGCGGGTCCTGCCTGGAAATTTCTATACAAACACTGCCTATCCCAACAGCCAGTATTAGTCCTGCATTTCACTGGAACTGCATAGAGCAATTCTCAGCTCCTTCTAGCTTCAGTAAAGAGACAGAAATAACACCCAAATGCACCAAAGGCCACACAAAGATGTTTCTCCTCTGCTGATCTTGCCACTCTGACTGTATGTGACTGATGTTCTACAACCCAGAAAACCCAGGTAGCCCTACAAGGACACTGGTCATAAGAAGGGCACTGGAACCTTTCATTTTAAAGAACATTCTACATGTATAGTCTGAGTCAGTATGTCATTGTTGCACTGAAGCCCTCAAATGATTTCAGAGTCATCTCATCCAAAGCTAGGCTGCAAAACATTTTCTACGTTCAAGAGGCAGAAAAGAGCAGAATGCTCTCCCTGTGTCAAGCTCAGCTGGAGAGACGCTGGTGAAAAGATCCAGCTGCATGACAAGACAGTAACATATTCTTACCATGGTGATTCCCAGGCTCCAAATATCAGATTTGACGCTATATCCCTTTTGGTTTAATTCTGGGTTGATTCTTTCTGGCTAAAGGGGAAAGAGAGAGCCAAAAAAACAGATAAACCAAACAGATTGATTCATTGATTGATTGATTGATTGATTGATTGATTTGATTGATTGATTGATTGATTGATTGATTGATTGATTGATTGATACACAAAATCCTTTGTTCTAAATTTCCCAGGGGTGGAGGACAGACCATTTCTACCTCCTGAAAGAAAGGAAATGAAGGTGCCTGTAAGACCACGCTTATCAGATACACTCTCCAGATTTGAAGAGAACCACCAAGGGCAAAATCCTATCAGCTTCTTATGGGGCCCCGAGAGGAACTGTGGAGGCCACATCTGCTAATGATGGGATACCGTCCCACGCCCAAGAATAAACCTGGTGACATGCCTGCCACCTTGCCAACTAGTCACAGCCACATCCACAATTCCTCTTGAGCATACATAAAAATCCAGTAGGATTCTGCCCCCAGAGGACCTCTCGCCGTGCACATGTGTTTGGGGGTTTGGCAAGGGATTGGCCGACTTTTTATTTTTATGATGGGAGGTACTAAAGACCAAGTGGCAACTTGGATATCTTGGAGCCCAAGCTGTTTAGGACTCTCTAGATCCTGCTTTCAGATGCCGGTCAAGTAAAGATGTTTCATGTTAGGTTCTTTTTGCAATCTGACTACCACATGCTAGACAAAATGCTGTTTGAAATGCTCTTGCCACGGAGCACGCAGAAGATGAGTGACACCAGTTTAGCATGAATAAAGGCAAAGCTCAGGGAAGGATAGTCTAGCAAGATTACAAAGATACCATTTTCCCTCTTTTCAGTATTCGTGGTAGGCAAATGGATTCCTCCCCCCCCCCAATGTTTTTCACTGCAGCAGACATCAGCCTCAGCCAGCACCACCCGTGGTCAGAGACTCTGTAAGATACAGCCAAAAACACCTGGAGGAAATGAAGGTCGCCGATCCATAGGAGCAGAGGTATATAGTCTTATGAGCACAGTGACCGAGGTAGGTGCCTTGTTTCCATTCCATTTAAAATATTACTTTCCTGGGTTATAACTCCTGGAAATCTTCAGCCAACATGGACAGTGTGGGGAGGGGATGCCGGTGTTTGAAAAGGGAGGGGGGAGGGAAGGAGGGGGAGGGAGAGAAAGAGGGAGAGAGAAATGAAAGGGAACTTTTCCCAGGCTTTGCTTATTCTTCCTTGGAAGGGAGGGAAGACCATTCCCAAGGCAACACTCTCGTCCTGCAGTTACGCATTACAACAGTTGTAGCAATTCCACAGGCTTCTCAAGAGGGGAAGAGATCACAATCTGCAGCTTAAGCATCAGCTTCACTCTTCCGAAACCTCTGAAGCAGAGCAGAGCAGCCTCCCAACACAACTCTTAGCAGGCATGGTGAACCCAAAGCTTCATGAGCAGGAAATATCTTGTCCTGAGTTTAGGTTACCAGGCACAGCTGCTGCTCCCTTTCAGATGATCAGCGAAAAGGGGGGGGGGGTATTCTAAGAACCATTGGCAGCACAACATTTTTGTTTGTTTTATATGCCATCAAGTTGTTTCCAAGGGATATGAAATATTCAGCGAGTGGGTTTTATCAATGCCACCATGAGCTTCCATAGACAAGTGGAGGTTTGAAGCCCTTTATTTTTTATGCTTCTACTGACTTCTACTTTCTAACTAAAATTTCTGCTGCATTTTACTGTTTTGTTTTCATTTTGATAGTAAAAGTGTGTCACAAAGCCACAGTGCAAATGCTCCAAGGTGGGGGCAATCTGCCCTAGTGCATACACAGATTGTTAGGCAGCACAGCTATGGGCATGTGTGAAGATTATAACGAAGGTTTCCCAATTCTCTAAACTTACCGCCATGTAAGGTTTGCAGCCAGCGTCCATTGTCTTGGCCACAGAATCAACGAGGTAACCACTAATTCCAAAGTCACACATTTTAACCTGTCCTAGTGTATTGATCAGTACATTGGAAGGCTTCACATCTGCAAGGTGGAACAGACAGAAATGGTTACTCCTTGCAAGGCAGGTCATCTGCCATGAGTCAGAGTACAAAGTGAAACAGGCTGGAGTCAATCATTGCCACTGGAGGGCACTAGTGACAGCATATATTTTCTTATTGATTCAAAAATCACAAGTTCTAAGAAGGTAAGAAAATCAGGTATTTCAAGAGCTGGACTAGGTACAAGTAACCTACAACCATCTAGATGTTAATAGTCTTTATTTCCCATACATCCTGTCCATGGGCCATGCTACTTGGGCTAATGGAAACTGGAGGCCAAGAACATAGGTCCTCCACCATTTCTCCTGGACCAGAGTTGCCATTTATTCCAAACCAACCTGCTGTGGTTTGGTTGGAATACAGCAGCATCCCCCAACCTTTTTGGGACCGCGGACTGGCTGAGCCTTGGAGGAAAGCGCCCCCTGCAGGTGCACACTTTCAGGTGCATGCACGGAGCGGTGGGGGAGTGCCCACCCACTCATGCCGGCGTGAGCGCTCCCCCACCCCTTCGCACATGCGCAGGGGCGCCTGCATGCCCACTTGCATGCCTGCCCACCCCTTCGCACAGGCGCTCAGGCACTTGGGCATGCACAAAGTGGTGAGGGAGCGCCCACCTGCCAGTGCTGGCATGAGCACTCCTCCACCCTTTCGCGCATGTGCAGGGGTGCCTGCGCACCCACCCACACGCACACCCACCCCTTCGCGTGGGCGCATACGTGGAGGGGTGGCGGAGCGCTCACGCCGGCGCTGGCGTGTGCGCAAAGCAGCTGTGGGGAGGGAAGTGTGAGCAGGAGGGGCAGGAGGTCTGTCTTCACGGCCCGGTCCGGCTCAGGCCACAGACCAGCACTGGGCCATGGACCGGGTTGACGACCTCTGGAATACAGAATAAATACAGTTTAAGAAAAACTCATGAAGGCCAAAAGGCAGGTGTAAATGTAGCTCTCCACTAGCTAATAAGCTAGTAGTTGTACTAGTTCTCTCCCTGACTCTTAACCATACTAAGGACCAAGGATTAGTGACACTGACATCATCATGAAACCTGTCCTAAGATTCCTAGAGCAACTGAGGCTGTAGTTACCACAGGAGGGGAAATGCTGGAGCAAGCAAAAGGGAAGATTTGTCTCTCTTCCTAAGGCTAGCTCCTTTGTTTACTGGGGATAGCAGAGCAGACCATGTCACTGAAATCATCTCTAGCCTGTGCAGCTCATCCTTGGAAACAATGTTTGTGACTATAGCAAGCAACAACAAACATCATTTTCCATGCAACATGCGTTTCTGTTTCAAGGTGAATACAAAACTGCAGGAGATCCCCTGGCCTGATTTTAGATGATCTCTTCTGGCAGGAACCCCATCTCACAGCTCCCATCGTTCAAGAAGATCCCCTATACCAATGGGAATACTTTTGTGCGATGCAATGGCAAGGAGGAAAAGAAAGGTCGCTTCCATACATAGCGCGCTTCAGTAGCACACTCTAGATAACACCCACTATATCTCAGTAATCCTTACAAGAGCAGTGAAAAAGGTGAGACCAGAGATTGTGAAGAATCAAAGCAGTACATTTGCAAAGAGCAGTATCTATCTGATACCATCCAAATATTTTATAACCAGCTCAAAGCCATCCACCTGACTTGTGCTTGGAAAACAGAAAACCACTGCACAGTTTTGATTATGCAACACTGGCATCATGGGTCTTCTGAAACCAAGGGGATAAGTTCCCATTTGTTGTGCAGTTTTAAGATGCCCTAAATGTAGCTCTTTTTATAAAAGACTCTCCAAGCCCTTTCAAAATCAAGAACTGTTATGGCATGCAAAACAAGTCACACTTACCTCTGTGAATTACAGAGAGCTTACTGTGTAGGTGTTCTAATGCCTTTACAATCTGAAAAACACACAACAAGAATGAGTTCTGGCTGGTTGAAATAGAAAAGACTGCTCTCTCTTCCCCAGAGCACAGGCCAGGAGTTCAACTTCTTTCTTTCAACACTTAATTGGGGGTAGAGACAGTCTAGGTTGGGCATCTGAGCAATTAACAAGCAGGAGAGTGCTGAGCCTGCAGTCTGGCACCAGGGCAATTATCATGAATCATGTTTTCTCATGGTTCTTCCAACCACTCTTAGCTCAATGCTCAAAATAATGCCTAAAAGACTAATAAAGTCCTTCCCAGGGTTAGAGTGTACCCAATCTCTGTACATCCCTTGTTCTGATGGCTAAATTCTGGGCATTCCTGGAATTTCACGCCTTTTCCAATGCAAGATGTCTGCCTTATTCATCTTTGTAGCTAAGGGTGACAATAAGAAGTCTTGTATTTATTTCCCAACTGCTTAAACAGAATATTTGTTCTCCACAAATGGGGGAAAGAAAAGGGGGGTGGTGAGCTGGATAGAGAATTAAATATTCTCTTGCTTATATAAAAAAAAAAAAAACACCTCCCTGCGCGTACCTGTCTCAAATGTGTCAAGTTTTATCTCACTCAAAAAGGGTAATATGCCCACAAATCTAATACAAATCTACCAATTTCTTGCAACTATTTGTCTGATAATAATTCACTCAGGAATGGTTACTATATTTGAGAACATTGTCCAATTCTGTTTAAAAAAGATTAAAAAGAACCATTTATGCATCTTCTCCATGTAAGTCTGTAGGAATCCTGAAATTTCCTAGATTTCAGATAAAGCTGCATTTCATCTGAAATGAAGTTGCATAGCATGCAACTTCATTTCAGATCTAAAATGAAGTGGGTCACACCCATAGTGGTTCAAGACAAATTAAACTCCTTCCTAAAGTGAAGTACAACTGGAGTCGTCCACATGACTATCAATGCATAAGGAAAATGTCTCCCAAAATGCTGTTTTTCCCCCATCTTCCGTTGAAAATTCGATGTGTTAGCCACTTAACCAATAGATGTGACTTTTCAAGATGGTCAAGAGGATAAATCCCTTTTGAAGAGGATGAGAAACAGAACTGAACAGATGAACCAAGAATACTCACCGAGACAGCGATTTTTCCTAAGATGTCTTCTGGAATTGTCAAGCCTTTATCAATTACTTGCTTGTAGAACTTGTCCAATGAAGTGTCCATCAGTTCCATACAAATCCATACATCTCCCTAGGAAAACATAGAAGACAACATGTGCTGCCAGCTTCAAACTGCATCTCTCCATCCCCAGCAATACTTCCCACAAAGAGCTTCCATATACACTGGCCCTAAGCACTTCACATCCTTCCCACTCCCAGATGGAACACCTGCAGGTCAGAAGTTCAATTCTATGCTGAGCCTCCTGGGATAAAAACCAGCCTGCATGGCCCTGGGCAAGCTACTTGGTCCCCGAGTAAACCCAGAAGAATGCAACAGTAAGCCACATCTCTGTAACCAGAAAGCTCTGGAAAGAAGACAGAATTTACTTAACAGAATATAAGTGCTGAATACGTGTTGCAGCCCATGCATGTATCTAAATGTCTCAGGAAAAAGGAGGCTTTGGGTGACTGGGTCACTGCAACCTCCCATTCTCTGCTCAAATCTCCTACCCAGATGGCAAATTATCTCTCACATTGGAAGTTAAGATAGATGGCTTTACTCTCTAAAAGACCAAACTATGCCTTAATGTTAGCTCCTGTCTGACCACAGAAATACCGGGGCAACCTTGAAGAAGGGAAGAAATTCCCTAAGTAAAATACCTGCCAGAAGAGCTGCCTGAAGGGCAATTTGGCCTTCATGGATGTCATCGTCAGTAAATTAATGAGTGAATAAAATTCCAGTTTTAGTAAAATAACAAAACAGAACCAAGAGTTCAGTTTCTGCAGCAATCCTCTCATGCTAACAAAACATAGTTCAACAAATAATAGTAATAATGCAGCATTCTGGCACTAAAATTGGCTTTTACTGTTCTGTGGAATTTGGTGTTGTTTTTTCAGGAAGTCTGGGAAGAGAGGTGTTGGAAGAGGAAGAAGGGAACTAAGACAAAGGAAATCATTTACTAGCTGTTATATAGATAGAATTCCCATTTCACTATTAAAATGCAGGAAAGCCAGGAACAGAAACATTTTAATCGCTCTTTAATCATACAACAATTCAGCTTGTGTAAAATAAAAACAAAAAAGAGGAGCGTTAACAAGTATGTTCTGCATAGTTTTCAGGATTTCATATGGATTCCCTTGTTTGTGCTCTAGGAACGCATATTTAAAAGAGCTATTGATTCATTCGTATGCCTCGTTTCATTTATATCCCATCTTTTTTTCAAGTTAGCTCAAGGCGACGGGACAGAGCTGTATTCCTCCCCACTCTACTCTTACAACAATCCTGGGAAGGAGATCTAGCTGGGGGAGTGTGACAGGCAAAAGTCACCAAGTGAGTTTCATGATAGAGATTTGAACTCAGGACCTCGGCATTTTAAACACATCAGGACTATAGTGACTCTCAAGATATAGTGAGTCTGTAAGTAAATTAACCATAACACATTACTATGGTGTCAATTTTTTTTTAAAAAAAAATCATAGATACAACAGCAGCACAACTGGCGATCAGTTAGAATGACTACCTAAAGTGTGCCTGAAACAACAACCCAGAAACACAGCACATAATTCCTTTCCCTCTCCCACTGCTTTCCATCAGTTGCTGAAAATTCCTTTTCCAACAGGTTTTCATCTTGTAGAACAAATGAGATATCTATGGTCTGATGAATTCTATTTAGGGCTTTTTACCTGCTGGACCTGTTGTTATGCTTGCAACACACATGGCTTATATAATGTGGCTTGATCATAAAAAAGAATGTTGTCTTTATTTTAAAAAAATCATTTCATTGCATTTATATCCTACTTTTGTTCCAAATCAAGGACACAAGATGCTATACTATTATTCAAGATAGCTCTTCCAAAGCTGCTTCTACAAGAGAAGAGTGTGCATATATAAAGACCCCAATAAAATGTAAAATGTACTGTTAGTGTTGAGTGAAATGCAATAAGCTGATAAATGGGCATCTGTGGCTAAAACCATTGTGATTCACAAAAACCTGCCTTGAGAAAACACCAGAGAAACCACAGGTACATTAAGAGCTTTAAAAATAAAATTGGTCAGGCTGCTTTGAGTAAAGTGAATGCATTAGAAAGGTGAGATGAAAAAAGTTTTAATAAAGAAATTCAAAAGATATTTTTGATATATCAAATAGCAAGATTCAATTGTTAAGAAATGGAGTAGGTGACAGTGATGAGAAATGTCAAAGCCACTGCTTGTAGCAAACAATAATATTGGGCTATATAAACCCGTTGGTTGACTGAGTATTTATCAATGATGTATTACAGAGGACTGCAGGCTAAATATGACAGAGGACAAAAGCCGGGATTTATAAAGCCATACCTCTCGAAACAATGCGCCGTAGAAAGTGACGGTGAAAGGACAATCTACCGTCCTCATGGAAACATCCAGATCCATCAGCAGCCTCTTCTGCTCCTGACTGTTCACTGTTGCCCGAATTCGCTACAAAACAGATCCAGTTTTAATTTCCATTTTTTTCAATTCCTCGGCATGCACAATGTTTCACCCAAGAGCTCACAGATCTCAAAGGCTAGAAGAGCAAGGCCAACTCTCTGTTCCTTCCACCAAGCACATCTCAGCAACAGTTCTTCTAATGCAGTTGCACCTCATTATTGGCCTTCTTAACCAACAAAGAAGAATAAATTGCTACGGCCTAGCTGTTAAAAGCAGGAAACCTTCAAACCAAGTAAACCTGCAAGAGTTAGAAACTGACTGTGGCCACTGTAGCTTGAGCCAGCAGAGACATTCGTTTGGGAAACCTTACACGGAATGGATTCTAGTCCCTCCTGAAGGAGTGCGATGAGCTCTTACCTGATGGGGTATCCCATTGGTATCAGTTGGACTTGCTTCCAAGTAAACACACACAGACTTAGGCTGCAAGTGACTCATAACAGGCACTCAAAATTAGAGTCCACATTTGGTGTCACATTTTTTTAAAGCCTCTTTTGTGCCTTTTGTGAAACGGGGATAATAATGCTTACCTACCTCACAGGCGTAATTTATTGTCTGGGAAGCACTGTGAGATCCTCGGATGTGAGGTGCTATAGAAGGGCAAAGGATGATTGTTATTACAGACGTCCTTTCTTTCTCTTTCTCTCTCTTCTTCTCTTTTTCCTGCCTCTGGTCTTCCATCATTACCACAGTCATGATGGCAGAACATTGGGGAGGGGGGCAATCTACTGAAAGAGTTTAGCAATGCACACTTCATCCCCAATCCAGTGGCTCTTTTGCTAGTGCAGCACCTCCGATGCACTCATGCCCCTAAAGTAAAGAAGAAACCCTTAACTGAGATAAAAGTCAGTGTGGGTGCACTTGGAGCTCTGGCGGAGCTTCTCATCAAATACCTAGACAGGCATGATGCTTCAACATGGTTAACCTGAGTAAAGATTGGCTGCCAACTAGGATGCGAAACTATGATTTAAAGTAAAATTCCAGAGTCTGGTTTGCATTAATCATGGTTAACAACCAATACATCTGTGTCATGCCAACCACTATTAAGGTCATGTCCACACTTCTCCAGCTTCTTTGCTTCCAGGGCAACAGTATTGCTGGTGTCTCCCTGTACACGTCCTTCATGCATAAGAGACTAGCTGAGCAAACTAAGCTGTTATTTTATTGTTGCAAATATCCAACTTGGGGTAGGAGAACAAACCATGGTAACCCTGTCACACTGACTCAGTTACCCAGGTCACTGGAACTGATACTAATTGTGCTGGCATTTATACAGCTTGTCATCAGGGACCACATGGGAGGAATAACACTCCACTTGTTCCTTGGATTGATAACCAAAGCCAAGATCTAACAACTTCAAAGGAGTTTTGCAGCTGTATGACTCTAGAACCATCATCTGCCCATGTCTCACAGTTTTTAGCAAGGAAATGAGGATATAAATTATCATATTTTTCAGGCAAATTCAACCTCAATGGGAAAAGATTCTCTCCAGAAAGCAATCTACATCTATTTAATTCAATTAAAATATGAAAAGATAATTAAATATTTTTATTTCTGAACTGAGGCATTAAAAACTAAAATATTTTTCATTTTTAAATATAAAATCCTATCTACTTTTCCATTTTTATGTCCTTTTTTAATTGTAGACTCCTTACAGGATTGTGTTAAATACATATTTGCCCATTATGATCAAAAATCATAATCACCACCAGAGACTGAAACAAAGTTGTCTATTTGTAGGAACTACATGTGGCTATCTAAAAAGACAAATCTGGCTCTATTGTTGTACAACATTCTCCTTGAAGTTAAGCCGATTTATGTTTTTGACTATTTCTTTTAAAGTAATATAAAACCCAGATGTAATATAAAGATGCAATAAACATCTGAAAGCAACAATAACATAATCAAAGCAGAGTGTTAACAAACACACAGAATTCACGCCTATATGGATAGATTGTGGACAAGAAAGAAATCATGACCGACTAAACCCAAAGACAAAGGCCCAGTTGGGACTATCATATCTCAGCTTAATAAACTAGCCTTCCTGACCTTGAACATTTGTTCTTTCGCAGTGCCTCTAAATGTTAAACTTTTTTGTGAAGTTTATTTAAGATTCTAATTTTTTTCCAAAGTTAGCATCCACAGATTTCTGGTTCAAATAATAATGGGAAGTCATGGTTAACTGGACAAATTCTATGCTATACTTCAGAATGTCAAGAAAGAAAGAGTAAGTGGTTTCATATGCAGCCATTAGGCTCATTCATGTATCAGTTTAATGGCACCGGTAACACGGCTATTCAAACACAGACAAAAGTCTATAGTATATAAATAAGACTTGTTCTTATGCACATCTATACAGTACATTCCACCTTTCATCCTTCACTTTCAAAACAGGATACAACAGTCCATTCATTTCATATAGAGCTTGCTACACACAGGAATCTCTCAACATTGATGGGAAAGATGCAAAAATGATTTTTAAAGCCAACAAGAACAAAGAAAAAACCCACGAGAACTTGAATTGGACCAACAAAACCTCTGATTTCTGAAAGTAGATAGCCAAGTGCTTTGAGAAATAGCTATCACATGATAAAGCTGAAAAAAAAAACAAGGCTATATACTTCAAACTCCAAAACCCATTCCCATATGACAATCAATCAAAGAGAAAAAGTACTATAAAGGATTTTACTCTTAAACAAAGAAATATAACCTGTGGAAAACAAGCATGCAATAGTGTGAATTTGTTCAGAAAGAGGTCAACTAAGATGTAGCTAATCCATATTCCATATTTCTGGTGTTCTAATTTCACAAGGTCTCCTCACTTAGAACACTAATAAATGAACCAGATTCTGCTCAATTAGGGCCTGCAAGTTTAAACCAGATTTACAAGATCAGGTTCACCCCATAACACTTCAACTAGGCTGGATCCCAGATCAGCACATACTAGAAAATATGTATTTTGATCTTTTAAACAATACAGTGTGAAGACTATATAGATCTGAATAGTTAATGGATACAAAGAGAATAGCCACACAAAGTCTCACTCTACCTTCACTGCCATAATTTGCCCACTGGGCATGTGCCGCATCTTCTCTACTACCCCGTATGCACCACGTCCCAGTTCTGATATTGGCGCCAGGTCATCTGCTTTGACTTCAAAGTTCTGTGAAGAAATCAGATCAAGAGGACATGGTCAGAAAGTCAACTACAGCTACCCACTCTAAGGCACCCAAGGCAAGGACTTCTCTTTGCCTTGCTTTGCTCCAAATTCACTTTAGCTTCTGAAGGGACAGGACTTGTGTCTTTGCAAGGGCTGAATATGTTTTGCAGTGGGGGCGTCAATGATTGATCATTGCCAATAGACACTTCTTACCTGCTCAGGTTACCTGTTTTGAAAGTTCCAAAGAATTAGCTGTGTTAGTCTTTGGCAAGTCTAGCTTGCCAAAAATAAAGGAGAGGGGAGCCAAAGGATTGTGGCACTTTAAAGAGCAACAGATTTACTTCAATGTGCACTTTCAAGGATCAAATTCTATGTGTTTAAAGTGCTGTGATACTTTCCCCTCCCCCAAACCTCACCTAAATTTTTGCCAACATGTATTGAAAGTGTACGTTTCTATCATGAAGCATTGGTCTGAATCCATCAGGGGCTCCCACCTACAGCAGACCTACTAAAACAAGTGGGTCTTTCAGCAACTGATTCAATGGATTTACTCTAGCTGGAGCTATCACTTGGATTCAGGCTAATGTTTAGTGGTATAAACAGGACCAACAACTGGATCTAGGACATTATTTTTACTGTACTCCTGCTGCCCTTGACTCATTACTGCTAGAATGCTCTCTTTCTTTTTAAAACTCAGTTTGATCAAAGATTTCCAAGTGCTCTTTCTGGATGGATTCATGTATTTTTCCTGAACGGATCTTAATCATTTCAAGGAAAAAAGGGAACACCTCCTTCAACTTCCACACATGTGAACTCAAAGACAAGAACCAGACACACAGATTATCTTTCATACATTAAGGTGCACATAAGGCTGCATGTTATTTCTTTACCCATGTACTTTATGCCCTGAATAATCCTACAGACATAGGAAGGGGCTGGCATGACCTGTCCCCATCCCTCTCAAAAACTCACTTGTTTATTTTATTTTTGTGATTTAATAATGACACTACGTAACCCTGCTTTTGGATTTGCACATGACTGTGTTTGATTTTTGTTTCCACTTTTCCTTCTTAGACTTGAACTAACAACGGATCTAGTTTCAAACCAATCCTGAAGCTGCATAAAGTGGACTGAGAGTATTATTCAAGGTTAAGGGGTTGCACACAAACATTTTCTGCCTCTGTGTGCACCGCCTTTGGGAATATTTTTCTCTTTCCCTTCCTTGAACTGAAGGGGACTGCTTTTCTTGGAACCATGACACTGTGCATCAGCCGTTGCTTTGATTCACTACTGGGGTCATTGTGCTCCAGATGGCTCTCCTGCCCCTCCCGCCTCAAAACAAAATCACAATTCTGAAAGAACAGACTCAGAAAATGCTAATGAGTTTACAAGATTGCCAATAAATTAGCCAAGTCCAGTTCAGGTGCAAAGGACAGAGAAGACAGACTCAGACAGAAAAACTGCTAAGCAGGATGGATAAAAATCAATGGTTTTTTTTAAAAATCAATTTAATCACGATTTGAATGAAACACATTGATTTTTGATTTAAATAATTTTAAAAAATCCATGTTTTAAATTTAAATTGCTCCTGAAATCAATTTGATCTAAACGAAATCCACATTGCTGCCAAGCTATACTGGTCTTTCAATAGACCCTCCTGCAGTATTTCTTATCCCATAGAACTGTTAGCTATTTCCTAAGTGCCTGGTAAGATAACAATTCCTGATGAGAAGTAACCTCAAAGTCATGTTATGCTTGAAAAGACATTTGCAAAATACATAATCACAGGGATGAGCAGAACATAAAGATCACCAAGCCCCAAACAAGAAAATCCACAACTAAGGGCCACATGTGAACTGCACAAACGCAGGTGGGTACTTCTCTTAAAGTAACTCAGAAAAGGAGTTTTTGTTGAGACCACAGCAGGAAGAGAAAGAGTTATAAACTCCCCTCCCCTGTGACTCTGAGGCTGGTCAAGCTTCTTCACAACTGCTGCTTACATAATTGAAAACATTAATGTGACTTGCATTCATGCAATTAACTTCGTCTACTTTGTTCATAAATCACAACAGACTGAAGCATAGACTGCACATCAAAGCATGGTCCAAGTAGAAAGCAGGAACCAAAAAGGCATATCCCTGCAAGCAAATACACAATACAGCGTTTGGAGCAACTCCACTGGTTGGAGTTTGCCATTCCCATGGAAAGGACAAAAATGTATTAGCGCTGCTCATCTCCCTTAAAGAACCCTGCACTCCAACTCCCTTGGCCCTACAACAAACCCTCTCTTCGCAGCTCCAGAAAAAAAAGTTCCTCTTGGTAACCTAAGGCCACATCTGTCTCCTACTTCCCCCAAAACTCCATTCTTACCACAACCCTGCAAGTAGCGTGGAGAAAGAACAGCAAATGCAGCCAGTATGAAAGTAATATATAAACGGGCATGGATCCCCATTTGGGTCACAAGTTCTTTCTCTTCCCTCGCCATTCTCTCTTCCTTTTATGTCAAGCTTTTTTCAGACTGCAAACTGGAGGGAAGGGCCTATCTTGTACTTATCAATCTTTATTGACTGTACAAACCAGTCTTGGAGCCTTTATTGTTAGAGAATATGAATGCTATAAATAAACATCTCTCTTAAGTGTTTATTTGCATTAATGAATCCAAAGACCATTTGTATCAGCACATATTACTAGCACTTTTGTGCATGTGCCGAGAAAGCTATCTACAGTATGTTTTTCTTGCACCAAACGCATTGGCCAAACTATGCCAATCTTTAGGTCTCTCCAGAACATTATCAACCTAGGGGGTCTACATGGCTTTTACTTGCCACAGAATGGCTAATATTCAGTACACGTTGTTTCTTATCACAACATCTGCATCGGCAGCTAAACCTCTGTCTGCTCAAAGCTGGCACGGCAGCATTACACCACAGTCCTCCTCGTGTCTTTGTATCATCCACATTAGCAACACAAATATCTGGCAGGAAATTCATGGACTCCCCACCCCCACAAACATGTGCGAACCTGTCAGCACATTTCTGATCTATTGAACTACAATCATCCACGAGTCCATCTGCCAGGCAAGTGGCCCAGCCAGATTCACCCCTGGGACCGATGGAAACGAAGGCCTTCAGAGCAATTCCTTGCAGCTTCTAAGAGGAAGGAAGAGAAGCATCGTTTGCAGACAGCTGCTAATGCTACCCAAGGCTTAGCAATAAGCACACTGGCGCTGAGCAACTGTTGCTATTAATATCAGCAAGCAGGTGTCACTTGTAGGGACATTACATAAAAACTTGGAGGTGGGGGGGGAGTTGAGGGTGTTGCCATAGGCTTCTAAGGAAATGTAACCAGGCCTATCACTCTGGGTTTTTCTTCTTGGGAGAAGCAGCAGGATCACCACAGAACACGCTAATCTAATTCATGGAAATTCGTGTTTCCTTAGTGATATTTTTTTAAAAAATTGTACTTTTAACTGTCTAAACTGTGTTGGCTGACCTACACTTTTTGTTCAATATTACTGTCAGCCTCTTTTTGGAAGGAAAAATGGCAGTAAATCAATAAATAGGTTCAATAGCCCTTATGCCAGGATAGGGAGATGACGGACCCTCCAGATGTTGTTGGACTGCAAATAATCTTAAAATACGGTCTTACAAGTACAGAGCTGGAAGCGATCCCATGGGTCATCGAGTCCAGACCCTGTAACCAATCAGTGCTAGCCAGCATGGCCCATGGTAAGGGATGATGGGAATGGCTATTGAACCCTATCTAAGAGGGCCACGTGTATCCTGCCCTGCCATATACCAGGAACAGAAAATACTTTCCATCAACACAAAACAATGGTTTTCTAGCCATTGGGCACACATCTTTGATCCAGGCCAATTTACAGAGCCCAAGCTATACCCATCTCTAGACCTTGGAGGACCAATCTGCCCTAAAAAGGCCCCTCGTGCATCTTAGTGGCCAGTGTAAAAAAAAAAGGAGGTGGGAGGAGCAGAGAGGGCACGAAAACATGGCAAACTTACCTCCCACAAGAAGGCACACAGGGAGGTTTCTAAACAAGTGCTTTAAAATATTTTTTGATGGAGTAGGTGATGAAATGGCATATTTGGGTCCTGTATGCATTGCACAACTCAACCCAAGCTATCGAAATAAAAATGACTGATAACCTAATCTCTCTCTGCTGCAGTTATATGAAGAAGCTAGAGGAGGGCAAGAAGTTCTGGAGTTAACTGACAGAAGTGCACACTACGCAAAAGTGAAGAGTGTGCTCCAAAAATAGTCAGATTTCAGTAGTGGTCCTTTGATGTCATCACAGCAAATTCAATTAAGTGTATGGAACAATCACAGGTGACTGCCTGGCATAGCTGCATGTTAACAGGACTTCAATACCATTTGCATATCATTTTCCAAATTGTTGAAGGGGCCAAACAGTAATAAATTACTTTTTTCAAACAGTGCAGTTCTGACTGCAGAAAGAGATGCCAGAATTCATGTGTCTACACATGTGCAGAAGACCAAGCAAGGGGTCATGGGCTAAACTGAGCGTGTGCACGTGCACGCATACATCTCTGCCTCTCTGCACACAGCTGTCTACTTCCTCTACGCAGCGATCGTGCTAGATTGTAGTCGCAATGGGACCCTGCATTCATGGGGGCGGAATCGCGCGCAAGAGAGGCCACCCAGTGACACTGAAAATTAGAGGGTACGTTGGTTGCGGGTATACATAACACAAGAAAAATGGCTCCCAAAGATGGAGTGGGTGCATCAATGACAGGAATTCAAGACACTCTTGCATTTGCTTCCTGCTAGAAGTCCCATCTGCTTCTTACCATTAGTCATACATAGGTTTAGGTGATCTGGGACCAAGCTGAAGTATCCCCACCCCAAAGTGTGTAATTAGCGATGGACAAGAAGTAAATTACTTCTGTGTGCATGAAGGAACAAGACTATTGGGTGACTCTCAATTCACTGTTTTAATTTGCTTCCTTCCTAGTTCTGTGCATAAAAACTGTATTTTGTTATCACTGTACCTTGTCGCCAATGTTGATGCAGGCTTTGGAATCCAAATCCCTAGGTGGCCTAAAAAATAGAAAAAAGTCAAGGCAAGAAAAATATTAAGGGATGTATTTCAGGATTCGTATTTACACACACACACACACACACACACACACACACACACACACACACACACACACACACACACATACACACATACACACACAC